AGTATTGCCTGAATGCCCTGAGTATTGCCTGAATGCCCTGAGTATTGTCTGAGTTTGGTAAAACATACTAAGCCAGTTGTCTAATCATAAGTCCCGCCAGACCATAGTTGAAAGCAATGGAGTTAATCAGTGGATATTTGCTAAATCATTGCACACTGAAAAGTCTTTGGTTTAGCACAAGTTGTCCTTTTAGATTACACAATATTAAGAATTGGCACACTTAATCCTTTCGTTTTCTAAATTGCCAATTGTAATGTTTATTGCTCAATTTTTTCCCAAACTCTACTTATTTCCCCTACCTTTTGTTTTCTCCAGACTATATTGATGAAAAATGTTAGGTTGGGAGTGGGGGTGAATAAGTAAGTTTGCATATGACAAAGGTTGACAGGGAGGAAGAAGGTCTTAGATTACAGGAAGATATAGATGGCTTGGTCAGATGGGCAGATCAGTGGCAGGTGGAATTTAATTTGGATCAAAAGTGTGAGATGATGCACTGTAGAAGAAATAACAGGTCAAAGATGTGTTCAATGAATGGTAGGCATGAGAAAGCTTCGGGGAACCAGGCAATCTTAGTGTGCATGTCCACAGATCTCTGAAGGTTCTTAGGGTAGCTAAGAAGGCATACGGAACACTTGTCATAGCATAGATTACAAGGGAGGTTATGTTAGAACTGTACAGGACTTTGAGCCCACAGCTGGAGTACTGTGTGCAATTCTAGTCGTCACACTATAGGAAGGATGTGCTTGCACTGGAGAGTTTGCAGAGCAGATTCAGCAGGATGTCACAAGAGTTGGAGCAGTTCAGCTATGAAGAGACACTGGATAAGCTTGTATTGGTTTATTTAGAGCAAAAAGACTAAGAGGGGACCTGATTGAGGTGTATAAGACTGAGAAGCATAGGCAGAGTTGATGGAAGCAGCTACTAAAGGATCATTAACAAGGGGGTGTAATTTTAAGGCAAAAAGTAGAAGGTTTACAGGGGATTTGAGAAAATGTTTTTCACCCAGAGGCTGAATTTAGAGTGCAGTGCCTGGGAGGATAGTTGAGGCAGGAGACCTCTCAACCTTTTTAAAAAGTACTTGGATGAGCACTTGAAATGTCATAACATCAAGGCTATAGGCTAGAGTAGATTTGGAGTACTTTCTTTTTAATACAGATGCAATGGTATGTAGGGCCTCTTCTTTACTGTATGATTCTTTATTGATTTCCCTGTCACTCTGACCCTACATAATGCCTTGCTATTTTCTACTTTTAGTGCTGTCTCTCAGAATTATCTGTGTACTTAGTTATCTTCTGCCTCCTGATTCCTAGATGTAAATTAGAGACATGAGTCGGCCTTTGACCCCTTGAACCTATTCTGCCATTTTGTTAAGGTCGTGGCTGATCACATTGTGATTTCAACATGCCTGCCCACCTTCAGGGACTTTTGATTCCCTTACTAATCAAAAATCTGTCTTGCCTTAAAAAAAATGTTCAATGAATGTGCCTTCACGGGTCTCTGGGTAAGTGTGTTCCAAAGACACTCGATGCCCTGAGCAAGGAAGAAAAGTTCTCATCAGCTTAAATGGAAGCCCCCTTATTTTTAAGCTAGTTCTAGTCTGTTCCACATGGGGAAACATTCTTTAAGCATCCATCTTGTAAAGTTCCCTCAGGATTTTGTGTGTTTCAATGAGATTATTCTGCTTGCACCAATGGATACAATTACTTTCTCAATAATTCCCTCCCAACCCAAGTACTGAGTTAGCTTAAAACCACCCCATTCAGGTATTCATCTCAGTTCTGTTCAGGTGCGTCCATCTGGCCTGTACTATCTCAACTCTCCCAAAATCAGTTCTGATACCCAAGGAATCAAAAGCCCTTCCTCTTGTACAGTCTGTTAAACCACACACTCCTCTGCTGTATCCTTCTGTTTTTATATGCTGTAGCACATGAAACAAAGAGTAATCTGGAGGTTTAAAACCTTTAAGAGTCTGCTTGCTGTTCTTCCTAATTCTTCCAAGTTTACTCATTCCTCTTTCTATGTATATTGTTTCTAACAATCTTGACCACAACTTTGAGCGTTCACCCTCCTTCAGAGTACTGCTTTGTGACATCCTTGACCCTGGATTGAAATAGGGACCTTCGTGGTCTGGATGCCTGAGTTCCACGCTGAATAATACCAAGCCTGTGTTGTGACAGACAAAAATATCTTGCTTGCCATACCATAGTTCAGATTATAGATGAATTTAAATATAGATGAATTATAGATGATATTTAAAATTTTTAAGTGGGTAAACACATTAACCAGCTGTAATTAACAACGGCATACATTTGTTCTGGCAGATACAGCAGATGGTGTTTCCCAGGAACTTGTGTCTGCAGGTCTGGTTGATGGAAAAGATGTAGTAATAGGTAACTATTGCCAAGAGTGCACTTTTTATAGCTTCTGATTTTAAGGGGTTTTTTTGTGGGGGTGGTGATGGGGGTGGGGGAAGAAGGTACACTTGCTCTCCTGCACAGTGGAAACGAATGCAGTGGGTACATCATTGGACTGGTCACCCAGAGACCCAGATTAATATTGCTGAGAATACAAGCTGAAATTCCACCATGCCTCGAGAATATGATTTGTTTTTGAACAAAGACAATGAACAGCTAGTATTAATAAAATGTGATTCTAAAAACTTACTGCTGCCTTCTCAAGATAATAAAGGTTTACACTGCATCTCTTTTGATGGAAAGCTGTATCTCTGAGAATAATAATGAATGGGATTATTATTATGATTCAGTATGAGTAGGACTAGGGTTGACATTAGGACTTCAATTCTCCTTACCAACAAACATAAATGATTAACTTCAAATATTTGATGTGTTTTTAAAATAGTTGCAGCAAATCTACAAAAAATAGTGGATGAACCAGCTGCAAATAGATCTGTCACTTTCAAATTGGTGAGTATAACATTTCCATAATTGTCTGTGTGTCACTGTCATTAACGAGTATTACAGATTCAGGAAAGAGGAAGCATCAGAGGTGGGTGCACCAATGCTGGGAGGTTGATTGTAACTCTCTTTTCTCCTGTTCTTGGGGTGCTGAGTTTCTATGTGTGGCTCATCTGTTTTGTGATTCATTTGGGATAGGGGAAAGTCTGAGACATGTCAAAGGAAAATGTTTTAGAAGAGTGAAGTAAAAGGCTTTGTGAAGGTATAAAATTTGCAAGGGAGATGGCTTCTGAGAGAATTGGAGGATTTTGTCACTTGGGGAAAATGACTCTCAACAGAGTCATTGACTAACTCATCAATTGAGTTCTGTCCAGGAACCTTTCTCTTGTATTATTATAGCTTATTTTGAGCTATAATCTCACTCAAAAAAAAGTCTTGCTGCAATAGAACCATAAGCCTACAATTTGCTAAATATGTGCTCATAAGGGCACTGAATTCACAGTTTCACAGAGTTGGAGGACAGTCACAAGCCTATGAATCAAGCGCAGAAGGACAGAGGATCCTTGTCCATAAGACTAATAAAGAATTAGGCCTTTTGGCCCATCTAATCTGCCATTCAGTCTTGGCTGAACAACTCTATTCTCCTACATTCTCCCCATAACCTTTGATCCCCTTACTAATCAAGAATCTATCTCTGTCTTAAATATGGTCAGTGACTTGGTCTCCACAGCCTTCTGAAGTAATGAGTTCCACAGCTGTGCCACTATCTGCTGAAGAAATTCCTCCCCATCCCAATACTAAGGATCATCCCTTCAGTCTAAGGCTGTGCCCTAGAATCTTAGTCACTCCTACTATTGGAAATGTCTTCTCCATGTCCACTCTATCCAAGTACCTCAGTATTCTGTAAATTTCAATGAGATCCCTCCTCATCCTTCTAAACTCCACTGAGTACAGACCCAGAGTCTTCAGCCACTCCTCATATGACCCCGGGGTCATCCTTTCTCCCTCCAGGGCCATCTCATCCTACCTTAGATACAGAGCCTAAAACTGCTCATAATTTCCAAATGCAGTCTGACCAAAGCCTTATTCAGCCTCAGCAGTACGTCCCTACTGTTGTATTCTAGCTTTTTCAAAATAAATGGTAACATTACATTTGCCTTCTTAACTACCAGCTGAGCCTGCATGTAAGCCTTAAGAGAATCCTGAACTAGGACTCCTGCTTCCCTTTGTGCGTCAGATCTCTGAAGCCTATCTCTGTTCTGAAAATAGTCTATGCTGCTATTCTACAAAGTGCATAACCTCATAATTCCCTGCATTGTATACCATCTACTTTTTTGCCCAATCTCCTAGCCTGTCAAAGTATTTCTGCAGGCTCCTGCCTCTTTAATTCTACCTATCCGTCCACTTATCTTTGTCATTTGCAAACTTAGCCAGAATGCGCTCAGTTCTTTATTCCAGATCACTAATGTATAATGTGAATAATTATGAACCTAATACTGACTCCTGCAGAGCTCCACTAGTTACTGGGTGCTGTCCTGAAAAAGAAACTTTTTATCCCCACTCTCTGCCTTCTGCCAGTCAGCCAATCCTCTATCTGTGCCCAGTATCTTGCCCCTAACACCATAGGCTCTTATTTAGCAATCTCCTGTGTAGCACCTTGTCAAAGGTCTTCTGGAAATCCAAATAGATCATGTTGACTGTCTCTCCTTTGTCTAACATGCGCGTTACTTCCTCAAAGAATTCTGACAGATTTGTCAGGTATGACCTCCCCCTTGACGAAGCTGTCCTGACTCAGCCCTATTTTCCCATGCACTTCCAAGTACTCCGCAATCTCATTCTGAATGATGGACTCTAAAATATTACCAATGACCAAGGTCAGGCCAACTGGATTATAGTGTCCTGTCTTCTGCCTCCCTTCTTAAATGGGGGTGTTACATTAGCCATTTTCCAGTCCTTTGGGACACTCCCTAACTGCAGTGGTTCCTGAAAGATCACTAATGCCTGTCTAATCCCCTCCGCTATCTCCTTCAAAATTCTGATGCAAACTGGTGAAAACTGATGAAAAGAGCCTATTCAGTTCCTCTCTATTTCTTCGTTCTCCATTACTGCTTCTCCAGCCTCATTTTCCACTGGTCCAACGTCCAGTTTTGCCTCTTTTATCTTTTATATATCTCAAAAAAACTCTTGCAATCTTCTATAATATTACTAGCTAGCTTACCCTCGTATTCCATCTTCAACCCCCATTGCTTTTTTTTTAAAAGTTGTCCTCTGCTAGTTTTTTTAAAGACTTCCCACTAATCTTCAGTACGTCATCTGCTCTATGGTTTGTTTTTATGCTATCCCTGACTTCCCTTGTCAGCAATGGTTACCTCATCCTCCCCCTAGTATGTTGTTTCTTCCTTGGAATGAATTTCTACTCTGCCTCCCAAATTGCCCCCAGAACCTCCTGCCATTTTTGGTCCACCTTCTTCCCTGCTAAGCCACCCTTCTAATCAACTGTAGCCAACTCCTTTCTCATGTCTTTCTAGTTACCTTCACTCTGATTCTAGCTTCTCCCATTCAAACTGAGGGGTGAATTTTTGTCATAGTGGTCATGCCCCCTAAGGGTTCCTTCACCTTAAGCTCCCTAATCAAATCTGCCTCATTACATATCCAGAATTGCCTGTTCCTTATTTGGCTCTACTACAAGCTGCTCCAATAAAGTCATCTCGGAGACATTCCATGAATTCGTTTTCTTTGGGTCTGCTTAAAACTTTATTTTCCCAGTCCATGTGCATATTGAACTCACCCATGATTATTGTAAAAAAAGGGTGCTATTAGATGTTTTTTCTGTCTTTTGATTTATTTTCTACCCCAGAGCTTGACTACTGCTAGGATGCCTGTACATAACTCCTATCGGGGCCTTTTTGTTTTCCTTTGTGGTTCTTCAACTCTGCTCTTATAGATTCTATGCCGTCTACTTATATCACTTCTTGCTATCAATTTAATTTCAATTTGTACTAACAAGGCAACCCCAACCCCTCTGCACATCTGCCTGCCCTTTCGCTATGATGCGTATCCTTGGGTATTTAGTTCCCAGCCTTAATCCCCTTGCAGCAACTGTTTCTGTGATGCCCTTAACATTGTAACCAACAATTTCAATCTAGCCAATTTGCATTTCAGTCCATCAAGCATGGAAATGTAACAAGGAATTAGAAAGACCAGTGGTATGTGGCCTTATCACAAGAGAATTTCAGTACAGCAGCAAAGATATCAGGTTTCAATTGAATAGAACCTTAGTGAGACTGTTCCCTGGAATACTGTAGAAGTTTAGGCCCCCTTGTTTTAGAAATATAGAAAAGAACATAAGTGCTGGAATATGCCATTCAGCCCTTTGACCCTTAGTTCTAAATGACTTGCCTCTTATTATGAAAGCATGTCCCCTTGTTTGAGATCCCACAGCGAGGGGAAACTTCTTAATTTTGACAGTTTCTGAGATATCCTCATTCTTCTAGAATCTAACGAATACAGGCTCAATTTCCACGATCTCTCTCATTGGACAATTATGCAATCCTGTGAATTAGGCTGGTGAATGTCCTCTGCACTCCTTTTAATAGTGAATACATCCATTCTGAAGCAAGGGGAAAAAAATTATACTTAGTATTCCAACTACAATCTAACCAAACACGCTGTGTTCAGGATCATAATATTCAGCATGTAAAAATGGCCATTTGGATCATCAGGTCTGTACCAGTGTTTGTACTACAGTCGATTCTGATATAACGCAATAGTTCTGTTCTTGTGCGATCTCGCATTATAAGAAAATTGCGCAAGCTGCAATCGCATTAAAGCCGATACAGGTAAAGAAAGTTTGTTCTACAAATAGCAGTCTAAATTCTTCAATCGGGTTAAAGCCAATTTGATTGAAGAAACATGTGCTATATCAGAATCAACTGTACCTGATGTGATTATGTTCTGCGACTCACTTAACCTTTGTGCATACTGACATTCAGCAAGAATTGGGAGCTTTGAATATTGATACCTTTCCATCCCAAGATTATTACTATTTCCAACTGATTGGAGCAGCCTGATTAGCATGGCTGAAATTAGCAAACTCAACAAAAATTAAATTAATTTATACTGTGGGATTATGCATTGTGTCCAGCCCAAATGTAGCTTTCAGTCGAAACTAGGTTACAGGTAAGAAATTTGTAGCAGTATGTGTAGACCTAATTGAATCACATTTTGAAGACTCACTTCTGCCCTTTGCTATCAAAATAACATTAAACAAGGTTTCTTTTTAATGATGAAACGGAGGTGAATCTTTTTGGTTGACTGAAGAGTAGTAACTCGCCTGCTGTGCACATTGTGTTTGGAGATGCAGAACTAATATGTTCCAGTAGCACTGCCGGTGGGAGGGTACAATTACTTGAAGGGTTTCATTATAAATGTCCTATTGGGATAATGGTAGTAAATTCATGCATGTATACCACTTTTGCTTTGATATTAATGCATTTTTTTGATCCACAGGCTTCTGGTGTTGAAGAATCAGATATTCCCGATGATGTTAAACTCATAGGATTTGCACAACTCACCATTAGTTAAGTCACACTACAACCAATAAAAACCTGCTGACCCCATCTGTGAAATAGGTATCTCACTGGTGTTGGCCTGAGGAAACTTGTACTGCCAAAGAGTGATGACATTTGCCCGTAGAACTTGCAGCATTTAATCCACTGCCCCCCTTACCCTATAACAAGGATCTCCAAATAGAAAGTGAATTGAGCATTTGCTTGCAGTATAAGTGAATTGAGCATTTGCTTGCAGTATCCTAACAACAGAACAATCATCAAGAGCTTTCCAGAACGTTCCGGCTTGCAGATTTTCCACATGATGCAGGGTGCTTGCTGTAGGTGACTACAGAATTGTCAGCTCTCATCTGCTATTTTCCTCCTCCACACCCCTTTTTAAAATTGCCTTATTTTTTGACGGAACTTTACTGATCAGTTATTAAAAATCTCTTCCCATTGGTACTCAATGAGACCTAATGTAGCACATTGAAAAATTGTGTTGTTTCAGTAACTTGTCTTTAATTTGTGATCAGTTTACTTTAATCACACAATTTACAAAGATTAAAATGAACACTGAGCAATACTTACATTTTTAAAAGTGCAGTTTTGAATTGTACTTTCCAAAGGGCTGCAGCCCAAAAACAATGGGCTGCACTTCTTTCTTTTTTCTTGTTTGCGCTTACTGTGCGCTAGAGCTACCCGGGCGCATCATTAACTGCCTTTTGACATGATCTAAAGTAGTTTTTTTGTTTATGTGGAAACAGTAAACCAGAATATAAATATAAATATTGAGGAAAAAAATCCAAGGGTGAAGCCTTTTCCTTTTTTCATTTATATAATATAAAAGTATTATGGCACAATCTGTAGCCTACCTTTATAATCTGCAAATGGAGTGTGCATGTAAACAAAAAAAATTACACAGCAATTGGTTTAGTCTTTGCCTGGTACCAATGTGAGAAGTCGGCGTTAAGAGGTTTTTTTTTTGAACTGTCAGATCTTTTAGTACAAAAATAAATTTAAAAATTGCAGCTGCTGAACAGCCAGTTGTATCTTATAATTCTCTTTGTAGATTACGAGAGTTGTTCTGTTTAGATTTCTGCATACGTCTCTAGTTTCAAGTAAGATCGTGTTGAATTTGTTAAACTTGCTTCTTGGAGCTCACATTTGGTTTGCAAAATGAAAATAATGACACATCACTTTGAATAAGCTCCAGCAACAATATTGTGCAATCTCTTTCTACTATTCTGATATACAAAGAGTCGCATTTAAGCCAATACACTTAAAAACTGTGCTAATTATCCAGTGTGATCCTCTTAATTCATTTTAAAGCAGTTTTTGATCATCAGTGACAGAACTGTAAATGTCACGCCAGTGCTAGACTATCTCAAACGTTCCCAAATTAGAGCAGAATGTAGAATTGATTTTTTTTTTGAGAAATCCTTTAGACATGAGTTGAGAATTTTGCATGCCCACCATCCATGCTTTATCAAAGTTTTACTGAGAACACTATCTTGAATGCAACAAATTAGCCTTGCGATAGTAATTGGATGACAAATGCAATAGAAACCCCACAACAGTTATGAGCAATCTTAGGTGAATGGCGATAGGGTGTGGAGGTAGTGCTGGTGGTGGCAGGTGGGAAGGGTGGTTTGTGTTGCCTTGCATAACACTTTGGAGATTAGTTGCCTTGTTTGTACATTTTGGGAAGGAGCTGAGATTCCCACTTTCAATGCATGTCATAGTTCAGTGTGTGTCAAAACAAAAATCTAAAATTCATCAACCTTTGCCTTTGAAAGGTATTAAATTTTTTCTAAGGAGATTTATTCCTTCCTCCCTATCCCATCAATCTACAATCATTAACACACCCAGGGGACTCCTGATCTACCCTATGCAGCACTATGTCAGCCACCACAAAAGCAATGCTATCAACACTCAAAAATAACAATGTGCTTATAACTTATAAAATACTTAAAGTTGAGGAGGACCTTTTGCCTGTATTAATTCACCATAGAGAAAGATCCTACAGTTTCCTGTACCAATAGCTTAATCTAATTTATTTCTTAATTGACTCCAAGGTATTCACCATTATATCTGAAATGCTATTCAACTGTCGATCACTGTGAGGAATTATTTTCTGATGTGAGTTCTAAATTAACCTTTCACTAGTTGACCTGTGTCCTTTGTCCTATTGTCAATTTAAGCAGTATTCCCCACTAACGTTTTTTAATCCTTTAGCTATCTTGGAAACTGCTGTAAAGTTATCTTTCTTTCCCGACTGAAAGTCGACAAGTGCAAATTGAAACCCAGAATTGTCCGGCAGCTGTGTTCGTGAGCTGTGGTACACCTGCCTGCGATGGACATAAATCTGATGTCACAGATCCCAGTTTGAAAGCTCACACCAGGAAGAAAATATTTATGGAAGACTAACTGGAGCCACATAATCACATAGTTAGATTGGTTAGACTTGCAGTGGTTTTTAACTACCTTTGAAAAATAATCAACTTGATATTTGAAGAGATGCCTGTAAGAGGCATGTACTTTTTGAAATAACTGCACTTGAACTAATTGTATTACTGTGTAAATACTGCAATTTTTTTATAATTTTAAAATTACTGAGTCTTTCACTATTGGCCTTGGTATCCATTTACTGGCTTTTTGAATGATTTCAGAACATGAATTCTGGCTTTGGTAGAGAACCTGTTTCAATTTGTCTTCCAGCACATGGGAATTATAGGATCTTTTACATGACCCACTTGCATGATTTTTAACTACTTCCTCTTTTTTTTTTACTAAGTTTGTATAGACATAGCATTAGTTACTTTAGTAATATATACCTATTAACTGGGACTGAGGACTGCTGTCACTAGGGCTAACTCACAACCCGGTATCATGCTGATTGTAACACAACGGAGGTGTAATATATCGTGATCACTTTTTTTCCAACATGATTGTGTTTTCGATCTGTTGCATGGTTTTGCTAATTCCTTTTAATCAATAAACAGAAAACTGTCTATTGTTGTGCATTTGCAGGTGAGATTTCACCATCCTGGTATTTAGTAACTCTTTTTGAATATGCATAATTAAAACATACAACTAGATAAAGACTTGACCAATCAAGCCACTTCATTCCAATCAAAAGATAGGTTGTGTTTGCATATCATCTCAGTCAGGTGTCGCTCAGATTGTAACATTCTCCTCCCCCAAGTCAAAAGGACATGGGTTCAAACCTGATTTCACTGATACTTTGGGGCAGTACTCAGTGTAGATTCTTGAAGAAATGCAGGGGAATTTTCCTCAGTGTCCTGGACAGCATTTATTCATCGGCAAACCGTACTAAAACAGATTAGCTGGCCAGTGTCATGTTGTTTTGGGAAATCTGTATATGATTTGGTTGCTGTGTTTCTTACATTACAGCAGTAGCTACATTTCAAAACATACTTAATTGAAAGGTGATTTGAATATCCTGAAGCATGAAGATAACTGAAAGTTCTTTCTTTAGGACATTGCCAAAATATATCCTGACATTCTGCAATAAATTACTTCAGCGGTGCAGCAAAGTAATGAATGGCTCAGCTGTCTAAATCAGCCCCCTGGAAAATGGTAGTGTGACGGATGGTCTTTTGCTGTTGTTTGAAGGAGGAATATTAGCTGGTCTGCAGAGTTCTTTACTCCTTTTGAGAATAATGCCTTGGGACATCTAATCTGAGCAGGCTGATAACCCTGTTTACCAGACTGTAACTTCACATGAGATCTCTACACTTTCTATTAACCTGTTAATATTTCTGTAACCCTTAAAAGTTCTTTTCCAAAAGACTGACCCAGTTCCTACAACTAATCAGAATGAACAATCATATTGTGTCGATTGTTCTTACATGTATGTATCCTTGTTTAGGGAATGTGATGTCAGTCTTAAAGGCTATATAGGCTTGAATGTTTCACTGTTGGAATAAGCAGTCCCTGAGAATGAGTAGTGACGGACCATAGATTGTGTCTTTTTGAAGAGCTCAGGGCAACCCCCACCTCCAAAACACAAGTTATTCCACTGATTGCCCAATAGCTGGCAAGTGTGGGGGGGGAAGACATAATTTAGACCCTGAAGTAACTTACTGATTGGCCACAAAGGTCCTCAATCAGCTTGAAGGCTGCCATTAGCTTCCCTGCCCACCATGGGAGACCAATATGAGATGTAGAAGTCAGTGGAGAGACTGCATGCTTTGTGACCCTCCAGCCTTCAAAAATGCTGCCAAGAGAGAGGCCTGCAAAATCCAGACCGTAGTGTTTGGGATATATTCAGATCAAATCAGCTATGATGTGGGGAGATGCTGAGAATGGAAATGTCAAAGCAGTTGACTCACTGTCTACAATTTCCTGTTCAACCTTAGCAGGGTTCTTATTGGCAAAAGCATAACAGTCTTGCCAGCTGAAAGTGTGTAATCTAATAAGAGACCTGGTTGGAACAAGGAACAACTAGACTTTTATTTTACAACAGTAACAAAGATTTTGACTATGATGAGACAAAATCTGAAGCAAAGGATGTGGAAAAAAGCTTCCACTTGTAATTTGATCAATAATACTGAACTATAAATTCTATGGAAGTTGACAACCTTAAAAATGATATATGCTAGAAGCTCTACATCTGTAGTTTCTCCTGCTTTGAAGTGTGCTAGTGTGGGCTTGCTGTTCGTGCACCAGAAGTATATGAAGAGATCAAATGATGATGTCAAGCACCTAAGTGGAAATTTGAGCGTGCAAATCCAGTTATCACACCAAATGAAAGCTAACCAAGTGCTTCATGAGTAACCCCACTCCACTAACATTATTTAAAGTTTCAGTCTTCTGCTTTTGCTCTTATATAGTTTGTGAAAGTATTGTGACATATTCTTGGAGGAGTTTTGTTGAGTTACTGTTTTTTGTCAGGAGGTTCTACTTCCAGACAGTAAAAGGGTTGTGACTTTCAGAGGCTGATACAGTTCTGGAGTGAAAACAACTTTGGTCTGTAAGACAACTGGGAGATGGAGCTGAAACATTTGAGTGAGGTTGGGGGGGGTGGGGTGGGGGGTGGGGGGTGGTGGTGGTGGGAAATGTGGAAGAGAATGAGGTCCACAGAAGTGCCTACTTACCCAACAAGCTTCTGGAAGCATATCAGTCTACCTTGGTCTCAGCCAGATGCAATGCTCAATGTCTGCAATTCCCCAAAGAGTTGGTCCTAAGTCTTTCATTTCTTGCAAGACAGAAGCTGAGGTTATTTATAATGGGGAATGAAGAAATGGAAGAAGATTTGAACACCTACTTCGGTTCTGTCCTCACAGAAGAGAATACAAATAACCTCCCAGAAATGTTGGGGAACCAAGAGTCTAATGAGAGGGCAGAATTGAAGGAAATCCGTATTAGTAAGGAAATGGTGTCGGGGAAATTAGTGGGCTCAAAGGCTTCCTGGTAATCCACATCTTAATGTACTAAAGGAAGTTGCCCTGGCATTATTGGATGTGTTGATGGCCATCTTCCAAAATTCAGTAGATTACAGAGTGACAAATTTGAAAATTTACTATTTGAAAAGACAGAGAGTGGGGGAAAAAGCAAATACACAGCGGTTTACCTAATGCCAGTAACGGGAAAATGCTAGAGTATTATTTAAAATGTGACAACAACATTTGCAAAACATTAATGGGATTGGACAAAGCCAGCATGGATTTATGAGAAGCAAATCATGCTTGCCATATTTACTGGAGCTTTTTAAGTATATAAACAGTAGAATAGATAAAGGAGAACCAGTGGATGTGATGTATTTGGATTTTCAGGAACTTTTTGATGAGGTCCCACAAGAGTTTAGTGGGCAAAATTAAAGTACACTGGATAGGTGTTAATATACTGGAATGGATCAATAACTGGTTGACAGACTGGAAACAGTGTGAGGGAATAAATGAATTCTGTGTTTTGAGTGGCAGGCAGTGACTAGTTGGGTACCACAAGCTTTGGCCCCAGCTATTCACAAATATATATAACCTAGATGAGGGAACCAAATGCAGCATTTCTAAGTTTGCTGACACCAAACCGGGTGAGATTGAGGGCTGTGAGGATGCTGCAAAGAGACTTCAATGTGATTTGGACAAGTTGACTCGGTGGGCAGACACAGGTCAACATGGCTAAATGTGAAGTTAGACACTTTGATGTGAAAAATAATAAAGAGTATTATTTAAATGGAGATATGTTGGGAAATGTGGATGTAGAAACGGATCGGAGTGTGCTTGTACATCAGCCAAAGAAAGTAGACCGGCAGGTGCAGCAAAGCAAGTAGCAAGGCAAATGCTATAACCACACCTGGAGTAACATAGGCAGTTTTAGTCAGCCTACTGAAGAAAAGATATACTTGTCGTAGAGGTAGTATAGCAGAGGTTCACTAGACTGATAATGTGTTGGCAGGACTGTCTTGTGAGGAAAGATCAGTTTAACTGGGCCTCTTTTCAGCTTAGAGGATAAGGAGATCTATTTGAAATGTATTAAATTCTAACAGTACTGAACAAGCTAAATGTGGTGAAGATATTTGTCCTGGTTAGGGAATCTAGTACTAGGAGAAATCGTCTCAGGATGAGATGAGGAAAGCTTTCTTCTCCAAAAGGTAGTGAACCTGTGGAATTCTCTGTCACAGAAGGCTGTGGAGACCAAGTCACTGAAAATATTCAAGAAGTAGATAATTTTTCAGATTCAAAAGACATCAAGGGTTATGTGGAGGAAATGGGGAAAATGGCATTGAGATAGAGAATCAGCCATGATCATGTTGAATAGCAAAGGAGGCTCAAAGGGCCGAATATATCCATTTTTGAGCCTAGGTTCTATGTTTTTAAGGTGACAGTGAGCCTCTTGGCAAGACGGGAGCAGCCACTAAAAAGAGTCATCAAGGTCACCTAAAACACTTAAGCTCCATACGACCAGATCATTCCTTGGAGGGGTAGCATATTGTTTGCTATCATAGTTGCATCTGAAAGGTGAAGGACGTGGGTGCCAGGTGTGAGGAGTCATTGTTGTTTCTAACCAAGGAGAGAAGTGCTACCTAATTATGCCAAGTAGCAGGAATCCCATTCAGCAAGGAGCTATTGTTTGCATGTATGTGAGTTGAGTTGGGGTGGGGTGGGGGGGGTGCCCAGAGGAAGGGGAGGTGGGGTGAGTGAGTATTTGGGCACCTTGTTGGCCACTGATCAGTGGTGTACCTGTTACAACTAAACCACTCTAGCAGTATGGAGACTGTCATCTTCAGTGGGTAACCAGTTATTTTCATGTTGGGCATTATTTCAGATTTTTGAGTTGTGTGTGGTGCATGGAGCAGTATGAAAGATTTGAAATGGTGTGTCTGTGATATCATTTGAAGATGCCAAAAACAAGCATGTTAATGATGGGGCACTATTGATTCAATGTGAAGTTTACCAAAAAATTAATTTAGAAAAATAAAGAAAAAAACTATTTAGCCAGAGGAGGATAAAAATAAATACAAATGATTTGGGGAATTTAAAAATCAGAAAAATAGAACTAATTTGCAAAATCAGATCATCTTGAGTTTTATGTGCACAAATAATGCAAAAAAAAAAATCAGTGATAGAGTAATGATATAGGTAGGATGAGGACTAGCATCAATATCTCAGGGCGCTAGGAGGTAGATTAAAAAGCAGAATCCTGTGTTAAAGTTTGTAATCTGTGCCACATGCTAATGAATATGAAAATGTGAGAATATGACTGATGAATGTGTGGCTCAAGATTTGATGCAGGAGGGACGCCTTTAGATTCCTGGATCACGAATCATTTCTGTGAAGGTGGGATTAACTGGAATGGGACCAACATCGTTACAATTTGCTACTGCTGTGGAGGAGCTTAAACTGGTTCAGCCGAGGGAGGGGACACCACATACTTTAAAAGAGGAACCAAGCAGATGGAGTTCAGACATGTTTCGAGGAAGTAAGCTGAGGCTGGGTGGCCACTATTTTAATGCTAGGAGTATTGTAGGTAAGACAGATGAGTTAAG